ATAAAAGGAATTCCACAATGCAAGGACGGAAGAAAAAGTACAGTGAAACCTTCCCAACGAAGGTTCTGCGTTTGTGGTCCCGTTATTGCGCAAAGATTTTTTTTTTTGTTTCACCGAATTATTATCCGCCGTTAGTCTGTATTTCATGGCGTTGCTTAAACTTTAAATCCGTGCGTCATAAACAGATATCCATGTGTATTGATTCAACCAATCAGGGAGCCGCTATCGTTATTGGCATCCTGACATGGGTTGTGACGGAGCCACCCAGGTCCAGTATTGTACAAAAGAAGAAACATAGCCAGCCAGAAACTGCCCAGAATGTTTCTTAAGAGGAAAAAAAAAAGTCACCGATGTAGACCATCCAAGTTCGATACATTTTATGCTGCCAATTTTTGTGTTCAGATCCATTTATCATTATGAGAAGTTTGTGTGTGTTTTAATAAGTATAAATGTAATTAAAATATGTGGGAGGCGTAATACTATTTTTTTTAAAGGTCTACATCACGGGTGTTAAAGTCAAGGCCCGGGGGCCAGATCCGGCCCTCCACATCATTTCATGTGGCCTGCGAAAGCAAATCATCTGTCAACTTCCATGATCCTTGCTTAAATATGTTCCGAACACTCAAATTGTCATACGTAATAACTAACGGTGACATTTTGCAATAATTCTGTTACCCTGTTTACACTCACTGAAGCAATAATTGAACAAATACTTGACTGACTTCAAAACTAGTGAGTCATCATTTTTTTATGTACAAGTAATAATGCAATGTGATGATTAAACATTATTTTGAAATTTAAATTAAAATTCTTACCTTTGTTAGAATTTTTCAAACAATTTCATGTTCGACGTAATAACTATGTCCAGTAGGAGTGCATGTGTGGACTCCAAAGTTGATGTGACACACGAGTCACGCTGAACATCTCCATGCAGCGAAATGCAGTTTGAACATAAACCCAATTTCAGTCATAGTCTGCTCATTGCATAACATTGTACAAAAAGCCTGAGAGTCTTAAATTAGAGGTTGGGAAGAGTTCAGCGTTTGCTGGTTAGCCCTTTAACATGCAGGACAGACTTGCAGGCAACATTACCAAAAGGAGGCTGAAGAAACTGTCAATGCAAGCGTACACAGTGGAGTGCTGAGACACTGGGCCAAAATTAGGTGCAACAGACGGTCAGAATGAGGCTTTCAGGGAAGGCCAACGGCGGGAATACGACTCGCACAGATCAGCTGCCTCGCATAGGTCCGTCATGTCAGCTGCGCTCACCAGCACAAACAATACACAGAGAAGTTACGCTACACTTAATCCTTCGAGACAACAGCTACGGAAATTTTTCATTGTCAAGATTACAATGACTGGACAGTGGAACATTCAAAACGGAAGGCACAGTAACAGCTCTTTTTACCATGGCAGTAAATGGTCCATTAAAAACGTTCTAAATTTCGTAGCTGTCATTTTAATAGCTTCAGTGTCCCGGCTATCTCACTCTTCATTATTCCAGCTCTAAACAACCACTCTGGTGCATAGACACCAACGATCCAGAACTTAATCCCTCTGAACCATCTTAAGTACTATGACACTCGTATGTACCCACCCCAAAAAACAAACAAACAAAAAAGCAACAAGAACAACTGTTTGAAAATGAGTCTTGTAATTTTTGAGCCAACTGCAACTGTTCTCCCCGTTGTGATCATAAGCACGGGGTGGGTGAAATACAGTGTTATGTATGTCTGCAAACCGTTGGAGAATCCTGCATCCAGGGGCTCTTGGGACACCAGAAGCTCCAAACACCCGCTTGCTTCTCATCATTTGGCTTTTTAACAGCTGGTCTCTTAATACCGTGAATTTGTCTCAGAGGAACTTTTTTTAACACGTCTCTCTTGGAAGGAGCCAATTTGCTCAGACTCCTATGCAAATTAGCGAACAGTCCGTAGATTTGTATCGTCAGTTTGCTGCCTACAAACTGAGACTATAAATTAAAGCTTGGAATGCACCGTAATAAGTCTTATATTCACTGACTTTCTACATACAGTATGTTGTCCATTGCCTCCATAGATGACAGTGGTCTCCCCTTTCATTTGAAGGAGTGGTATGCAAAACTGGCTGGGTATGTATGTTACATCTTCATTTGAGCTCATTTTCGTTCATTTGACCCAAGACAACAAACAACTTCGAAAACCTTACATCTACATCATGTAAATACCAACCTCCATTCATTTACAAGCCACTTTAAATGAAGACACTTGCAGGGCACAGATTAGCGACCCCTGCTTAAAATAGCGAGAATATCACTGAGCCAGCCAAGCACATTATGAAGAAATAACCCGCGACTATAGAAGACATGAGCTGCAGTGACCATGTATGAGCAAAGGCCTTTACAATGTGACCACCACTGTCATGCGCACAACGTCAATAAAACATCCTCAACAAGCACCTGATATAGAGCATGAGTATGCCACCACGTCTCTGCCCAGCAGAGGAATTCTGGGTATTTAACGGCGACACGGGACTCTCTGCCGTGTCCGGTGTCAAAGTCACACCAGCTGTTGCGGGCCGCATCACCGGGGCATAAATCAAATTTTTTCCATTAATCTGCCCAAGAATGCATCAGTGCGGAGGAATCCATTTTGTTGTCTTAAAATAGAAGCATGACCCCCCCCCCACCCTCCATTACAGCCACACAGTTCTTTTAATGTTGAGTGACACGTGGCCACCACATGACGTGCCACCTCAAACCGAGTGCACATACTGTCCAACTGATGCTTTAGATCTTATTCATAAAATTCCAAAGCCAACTGGTCAAGTTAAACCTTTTCCCATAACTAACAATACAAATGGAATAAATCCGTTCCGGTGCGATCATGGAATCCTTCGTGTACTGTGCACCACTGCACAAACAACATTTTAATAAGCTTAAGTGTTGCACAGGTGTCAAAATAAATTCACCAATGTCTAATAAAACTGACCTTGTAGTCTCCCTTTGATAATTTGCGATTAATTAAAAGACGTCAACCGCCATAAAAAGCGAAACGCACCTCAGTTTGCACAATTTTCACTTCAGTGTCATAGAATTCTGACAAGACCAAGGTTAAAAGAAGCACATTGTTGCAGCAAAGATTCTGTTTTATTGCCCATTTTATGACATGTTAAGTACCAAATCGGTAACTGAATCAAAATGTATTTATGTTGGGGCAATTTTTACACTGTCAATTTGAAGAAAAAAAAAAGTCCTGCTTTTGAATAAAGCAATGGAAATGAAAACATGCTATTTTTAGGGATCAGATTAATCAGTTATTTGGACAAAATAATGGCCAGATGAATTGTTTCATAAAATAATCGTTACAAGCCCTAGATGCTTTAAATCCAGAATTAAAGCCACACAAATTCTGAACGCATCTGGTATGTACAGTATTTATGTGCAGCAGCTTATAGAACATGCACTTATCTATATAATATGATCTTTTATGTTCAAAAACATGTCCTCGGGTGTTGTGCATGCCAAGAACATGCAGAAGGTGAAGCCTGGAGGAGCTTGTGCACCCCCCAGCCCTTCTCCAGCTGTCTTCCTTCCTCACTGTCATTGCACAAACACATGTACCATATGCACAGTCGGCACCGCTAGCCAGCGCTTGTGCAAAGTTGCATCTCATCTAACATTTCAAGGCCGGACGAACTTTGACAAAAGACAAACTGAATTGTTGCGGGCCTCCAGAATATAACCTTGAAGCAGGCAAAATAAAAATGCAATGTGCCAAATCGGTATCACTACCACAGAGTAATTCAGGGGCGAGGCCGAAACGTTTGGAAAGCATATAATTATGACTATGGGGAGGCTCTTCTGGGGCAATGTTGCGTGGACATTCAGATGCTACTCAGCCTCCTCTTGTGGCCACACTGGGAAGATCAGAGTCCCCTGATTTACAGAAGCGCCTTGAACACTACCAATCACACCCAGCTTTTTTGCCCCATGTCAATGTTCTCTGTGTCAAAGGGGCTGAGGTGGGAAAATTGCTGGGTGAAGGAAACAGGAAAATTTCCAGATATTCCAGGTAGAATCAGAGAGATAACTGAGGCAGGATGATGGTAGTGTGAAATGGAATAGAGTGAATGAATTCCCATTAAATTGTGGTTCTTTGATAATTTTTTAATGGATTTTTTTTCGACCCGAAACTGTGAACTGTGGCACTGTGAGGAGGCACATTGTTATGGTAAACCACTGTTACTATAACCACTATTTGTCCTGCTACAAGTCTCGCTTCTTTCTCACACACTGAACAAAGCAACATTGCAGGATCTCTTTTGTAGAGACGTGCTGGTTGACTGCCTGGCCCACGCTGAAGGGGAAAACTCATAATTTGGGTTTGAAATATACATTTTGTCAGACCAGTCCTGGAACATTTCTGACACACCCTGTATGACTGCAGAAGCTCTGTCATGTTCTGAAAGCAGATGCAGACGTGGCAATGTACCTCTTTGCTGGGTTCTGTGTATTAAATTGATTAAAAAAAAAAGATGAAAAGAGAAAAAAAGATGAGCTCTACTGAAGGGTAAGTTTGAGAACATTGTGCAGATCTCAAAAGTCAAGATCAAAATCATGAATTACATCATTCTATTTATGTTTTACGCACTGTAAACATTATCCACACACATTTTATGAATTTTTCTAAGTTTCATAAAAAATATAACTTTTAAAGGCCCTGAGAAATGCATTTTCAATTTCCACAACTTTTCCAAGTTTCTTATAACAGTACACATATGAATTAATACCAGCTTTAGTGTCACGGCAAAATTCTGAGAGAAAGAGGCTGCAGATTGAAATACTTTGAAGTAATGCCATTTGTGTCCAGCTATCCAGAAAAGCACCATTTAAATTTGACGCATTATCATTATTATTATTTACTGATGAGATAATCCGTATTTCAGTACATATACTTGTCATGACAATTTTGTTTGGTGGTCTGCGATGCGATAATTCTATGTCATATTAGTTTACTGACCTTTTTGGAGCTGACAGACCTCTGTAAGATCCGTCCATGAGGTCCCATCACCCTAGTGCTGCCACTGCATCCTGAGGGCAGGGGAGAGGCACAAGGTGGACTCAAACACACATTAAAGGTGCCTGGCTTCTTCTCTGTCAAGGTCTTTTGGAACGCCACGTTGTTGTTTTGGTTGAAGGTCAGAGTGCACTTCTCCTTGATGCCCACATTGCTAAAATCAGTTTGATGCCCGTTTTTAATGAGCTCGAGGTAGTCTTTGAGCACCGCCTGTGTTTTGAGATCGCTTAACCAGGTGAGGAAGAGCTCGTCGACCTTCATCTTGAGAACTGGTTGAAGAATCTGACTTGACGGCATTTTGAAGGAAGCCCAAGAATCCACAGGTGAGGTACCTGCACAGTAATAATTAATAACATGAATGGATCGTGTTCATGGTTATTATTATAATATGCTTATTTTGCTACAATGAAAAGAGGCTACACATGACAAACACCTACCACGACGATGCTGTTCTACAGTGCATAATGGACCATTGGTTGGCTAGCAGTCGACCTTGTTTTCTACTAATGTTACACTATCACAAACACACAAACAATATTGAATTTTAGCGCGTCGATGCTTTGAGCCCGCAGGCTCGCGTGAGCGACTGCACAAAATATTGGCTATTTCAAACAACAGGGTGGGTAAAAAAAAACGCAAACTGAAGCTGCACAACGACCGCAATGTATGGAGACGTTCAGAAAAGAGCTGACCGGTTTGGGGGAGATGTTTTCAGTTAGCATGAGCCAGTTAGCTCGAGCAAACTCAGACAAAATACCAACCTTATATTTAAAGCACGTAAATTCCAAATACGGTGGTACCACGCTACATTATTCCCTTCATTTGGTAATGATGATGAGCGTATCTTCAGTCTTGATACGGAATGCTGACTGGATAGCCGGCTCCGATCCCACAACAGAGAACACTTTGCATGCTACTCCGCTCCAACTTTTTCAAAATCGCGTTCCCGTGGTAACCACACGAACATATCGCGAGATTGGGCGTGATGCATTCAAAGTCTGATGGAACGTTCAGCCAACCCAACTCCTGTCGGATCCCTCAAACAAATATGTGAAGTACTTCTGTCAGGTTTTTTTGTGTTTTGTCTGTTCTGTATTTTTATCCTACAGAAGAGGATTAGGGCCAATGAAGAAAAAAACAAAGTTGGCAAAATTCTCATTTTTATCTCAGAATTCTGATTTTATTCTGAGAATTCTCACTTTAAGTGGCTCGTTGGCCCAGTGGTTAGCGCATCAACCTCACAGTGTAGAGGTCATAGGTTGACCTGCCTTCATGTGTGGAGCTTGCATGTTCTCCCAGTGGCTGCGTGGGTTTTCTCTGGGTACTCCGGTTTCCTCCCACATTCCAAAAACACGCATGGCAGGGTGAACACTCTAAATCACAGGTGTCAAATTCAAGGCCTGGGGGTAAGATGTGGCCCACCACATCAATTTAAATGGCCCGCGAAAGCAAACCAAAGATGATAACTTCAGTGATACTTGCTAAAATGTGTACCAAAATTTCAGATTTTCATATGTCATAAATCAGTGATATATTGTCAGCATTTTCTTGTTACCAAACCCCTCATTACAGTTACTTAAACAATAGTTGAATGAAACGTTATTCTTGACTTCTTTGTATAGTTTCAGTCATCATGGCCTTCCAAGGGAAACGGTAATTATAATGTGGCCCGCGACAAAAATGAGTTTGACACCCCTGCTCTAAATAGTCCCTAGGTGTGAGTGTGAGCACCGATGGTTGTTCATCTCTGTGTGCCCTGCGATTGGCTGGCAACCAGTTCAGGATGTCCCCTGCCTACTGCCCGAAGACAGCTGGGATAGACTCCAGCACCCCCTGCGACCATTGTGAGGAAAAAGCAAATCGGAAAATGGATGGATGGATGGAATTCTCACTTTAAAGTCAGAACTCTCCCTTTATTCACATCAGGATTCCAGTGGCACCACGAGATTCCCGAAAAAATGTTCACCTCCAATTGTCACTCTCTTCCCCAATTCGTAAATATGGGTATTGGCATGTCATGGACTATTTTTCCCCATGCTGTATAGTGCTGGCATAAACATTCATTTATTGAATTGAATTTGAATTTGAATTTGACTTTTATTTGGTCTCCCATAGGGGAAACTTGTCTCGGAGGACAGGCCCTCTGTGCTGCTACATGCATTGAGCAATACATACCACATACATGACACACTATTGGACAATACATACAGTACAGGACAATATATACTCTACACACATTGGACAATGCATTACAGGCATATGCACTCCCCACACACCTTATGTCCTCTTGTTTGTCTGTCTGCCTCCCTGTAATTGTTTGTTAATTAAGATGAAAGCCTGCGGTATGAATGAGTTTGTATATCGGTTTAATTTGCAGAGAAGAGTCCTATACCTCCTTCCTGAGTTTAGGAGCTCGAATTGGGAGTGTAGCACATGGAAAGGATTGTCTAAAATGTTGTTGGCCTGTTGAATAACGGACTGGACATACAGTATATGTCCTGGGGAGCAGGTGGTGAGGGCTGTCCGATTACCTTCCCTGCTGTCTTAAACAAGCTGGTTATCTGAGCTTTAGATTTAACAGTTAGGTTCCCAAACCAACTGGTTATTCCATAGCGCAGGACTGACTCAATGGTTACTCTATAAAAGATCAACAAAATGCTTCTGCCAACTCCAAACATTCTCAGACAAGAAATGAAGGCGCTGATGGATCCTCGAACAGACATTTGATACATGTGTCTGCCAGTTAAGCCTGCTATCTACAGTATATACTGTATGAGTGTACTCAAAACTCAATCGTATCATTTATACTGCACAGTCAACACTACATTTTGTTGTTGTAACACACTATTGAGGGTTGAACATTTAACACTTAGGTAAAGGTTACTTTAACACCAGGTAGTGTGTATGCATAGATCAGTGGTTCTCAACCTGGGTTTGATCGAACCCTAGTGGTTCGGTGATATGGTCTCAGGGGTTCGAAGGAGCCTCTGCCATGAATGTTAAGGCACACCTGACTCAACATATCAATTAGTTATGACACACTGGCTTGGCCATCAAAGGCTGGTTCATTTTGTGCACAATTAAAAAAAACGTATATATACTTACTCTATGTCTTGAAATTTTATTTAGGTTGTTTTCTCTTTTTAATACATGCACTTTTTTATGTCTTGAATTTGTTTAAAAAAAAAAAAAAATCATATTTTTATTTTTCCCTAATGAAGAGTTCAGTGAATGTGCATATGAACTGGTTGGGTTCGGTACCTCTAACAAGGTTAAGAACCACTGGCATAGATACTTACACAGTAAAAATTAACATTTTCTGGTGTTGAATCAACACCAGCAGACTTGCAGTTGACCACTATTGTATATAAATAGATTAAGGCCAATTATGTCCAATTATATCGAATCTGTAAATTTGCCTCCAGTCGGTGTCATGCCTTTGTTTTTTCCAAAGAAGAAATGAAGACTTGTGAAGATTATTGACGTTTTTTTTTTTTTTTTTTGCATTCTTTTGTTTCCCTTGGTAATCACATCAAATCACACGTGAAACATTCAAAGTTGAAGGCGGCCGCTAAAAAGCTCTTTGTTCTCTTTCACAACATCCAGCCTTTTCTTTTCTTTCCAGGCTCACGAGAACCTAATCAATATCAGCAATGCAGAGATGAAAAGTGAGAAGTCTTTTAAAGTTGAAACTTTGCTACTTTTCAAAGTGTAATTACAGCGTACAAATAAGATGTTTTAGCCAAAAGCACTGCAGTGCATGTTATTTTTTTCATGCCTTGAAGGACATTTCAAAGTATTTGGCCGAGGCTGAAACCACAGGGGTACTGCTGCTTAGCGTAGCACCGTGCTAAGCGAGGAGTTCATGTGTGCAGTGCTGCTGTCAGCCATGCTGCACGGGCTGCTCTGTGAAGTGGGCCAACAGCAATCTGCTCTAATAAGCGCCGCGAACGCACTTGAAAGTATTGTGTGGCGGCCAGGGATTTGTGCTGTTTGGTGTTGTTTATTGCCACAGTCCGCAGGCATAAAGTAGAAATCTAAACGCTTAGGATTTAACTTTCTTCCACAAGTTTGTTTGTTTTATTCGGTGTAGTTTATGCCACTAATTCAAATGCTCTGATTGTCAAATTATGCAGTCACATCTATCTATCTATCCATCCATCCATCCATCCACGTATCTGCCCGTCCAGCTAAGGACTTGTACTGGAGAGAATGGCATCCAAACCCAGAAATATATTTTGAGTTGTGGTTTTTGGGATGGGAACGGTATTTAAAAAAAAGACAAAAAACATTTTGTGAAAAAAAATGTCTATGACTAACAGCTGTGTTAAATCTTTTGAAAAATGCATTTTTGTATGAGAGGTTTGATAAATGTCTTGAAAAAGATCTGGGAAATTGTGAAAACAACGAAAACGATGTCACACACATTTGGCGATAGAAGACTTCTGTTGTGCTCTGAATGTGATGAGGAAGATCAAGTGGATCTGAGTTTCATCAGTTCAGCCAAAACAAGCAAGAAAACATATTCTTTTCCTGTCAACAACTAAATCACTAATCCAGCCGTTATAGGCGTGAACATAGCTGACTTATTTTTCCCGAATTCGAAGAGACTTCTCTCATTCACTTTATAATCGGTGCGCCAGAGGCGCAGTCATTGACAGGGCGGAAGAAGAAAATGATTTACTCGAGTTCATGCATGGAGGTCAAAGCGCACAAAGAATTCCGAAGGAACTGGGCACAGATCTCCATTGGCGGATGATGTAAAGTTAGAAAGGGAGATCACAGATCTGTCAAGTGGGCACTTGACACAGTTGTATCACGCCAGGCCCTTTAACCGTCACACGCACTTGAAAGTATTGTGTGGCGGCCAGGGATTTGTGCTGTTTGGTGTTGTTTATTGCCACAGTCCGCAGGCATAAAGTAGAAATCTAAACGCTTAGGATTTAACTTTCTTCCACAAGTTTGTTTGTTTTATTCGGTGTAGTTTATGCCACTAATTCAAATGCTCTGATTGTCAAATTATGCAGTCACATCTATCTATCTATCCATCCATCCATCCATCCACGTATCTGCCCGTCCAGCTAAGGACTTGTACTGGAGAGAATGGCATCCAAACCCAGAAATATATTTTGAGTTGTGGTTTTTGGGATGGGAACGGTATTTAAAAAAAAGACAAAAAACATTTTGTGAAAAAAAATGTCTATGACTAACAGCTGTGTTAAATCTTTTGAAAAATGCATTTTTGTATGAGAGGTTTGATAAATGTCTTGAAAAAGATCTGGGAAATTGTGAAAACAACGAAAACGATGTCACACACATTTGGCGATAGAAG